GTTCTCTCTATTAGAGATCACCTGAAACATAGACAAGAATCCCAGAAGCACTACCATGATCGAAAGTAAAGGGATTTACCGCCACTCACAGAAGATCAACAATTCGGAATCCTAAAACTGGTAAAAGGGAACCAGCAACTGTCTCAGCAAGATGCAATGAACCAAGATCATATAAGGCGACAACACCTGAAGTTCGAACATACAGACGTAATACTAGGAGTCACATCAGAGATACACAGATATACACCAGCCAATAATGCCCTCTCTAATATTTAGCCACTCATATATCATGACCTCAAACAAGAAATTTAACTTATTATTTATTTCGTACACAAGCTTTTCTTCTCTCGGAAATTAGGGGTATCCGAAACGTCTTGTTGATATAGTATCGGACACCAAGACATCTTCCGTTGCAGCTATGCGTAGACGAAATTGGGCAGGATGATTGCGTCTATCGTAGACACGAGACTTGAAGGCTCAAATTTCGACGGTAAGCTGTCAAAATTATTACCGAATAAGCGGAACAATTCACGTTTCTGAGACCAATGTATGATTTACTCCCTTGAATGAAGTTATTCGGTGTGAATGACTGATGTGATGTCTTTGACATCTAATATGTGAATATCCCACATAACTATAATTGAAGAAATGAATGCAATGAACTAATCTATTTTCAAATATGCAAATGGAAATCCGACTGCTCGACATATAATCACTTAACAAATGAAAATGAAAATCAGCATTGGGCGATTACATCAATAATGCAATGTTCCAACGCAATTTGTTATTATGCATTGATCACGTAAATATCTCCCAGCCCAAGAGTGATAAACCAAAACGAATATCACCAGGCTCGTTCAACAGATCATAAGTCAAGTCTTATATGCTCAGCTTATTTAACAGATTGACAATCAGCGTTTTGATTATTATCTTCGTATTTGATATTAATCTTCGCATGTGATCTTGATTTTCGCATTCGATCTCCGTATTTGATACTAATCTTCGCATTTGATCTTTATCATCGCTTATGATATTTATTTTCGCATTTGATATTTTTCTTAGCATTTGATCTTTATCTTCGCTTTTGATATTTCTTTTAGCATTTCATATTTATTTCAGCATTTGATATTAATCTTCGCATGTGATCTTCATCTTCGCAATGGTTATTTACCGTCGCATTTGATATTTATCTGTGCAGAAGAGTGCATAAATCGACTGAAACAAATTACTTTTGTCAGTTACAAGTATTAATGCTTTTATCACTGCTATGAAGTAATATTTTAGATTAGTTTTTATGAATTGTCGAATAATCGCAATGAAAAGGGTTTTTATAATGCCCACTATATGATGTAATAACGACTGGATATTACAAGCAGACAGTATTTATTTTCTCGTACATCACTGTTTGTATATTCACAATAGATTTATCTTCAATCTGACATATTTTATAATGAAATATATTTTTTGAAATTTTTGTACAGAAATTATTACAAAATACCTCGCCGTCGACGACGATTTTGTCATTAAAGTCATATCTAGTTATGGATATCTAAAATCTCATCTATCTTTTTACTGGCAGTAGGGAAGTCAGACACCATAAAAATTGTGAAAATGAAACCAAAGAATATATCAATTACATAACGTTTTATTGCCTACAGAAAATTTTTTATTCAATATTTTCTCTCTGTCAAATACCACGAGAAAGTGGTAAAAAGGTTACATAGTTTCATGTAAAATATCTTTCAAACATATTATTTTTGTTATTAAAACTACCTTGTCATATGTCAAATGAGCAAACCTAAGATGACAATTGATCAACTTTGGTTTGTTTCAACTTACACCGTTCTCATGGCAATGATATTCTTTCATGTCATGGAAAATATCTTATAAATTAAATTCGACTGGTTTAATGATTACAATTGATTATATTCATTTTAAATCATACCTTGAGAGAAAATAGATTCATTTTCATGTCGAATGAACTAGATATGACCGACATTATTGTCTGTGTCAAGCTTTAATTTACTGAGGTTGAGAAAATTAAACGGGTATCCAGTTTCATGTAAAGAATATTCAAACACAAGGCTAGTTTACTCTGGAATTCATTACCTCAAGTACTTAAACAATATAATGATGAAGAGGGTTTTAAGACAGGACTGAAAAGGGAATTACGATCATAATATGTAATTGTGTGTCTAATAGTACTATATTTTCACTTCATCTTTGATAACCAAAGGAAAATATTACCTCAATTAATTCAATTTATTTTATGTGTTAATCACATTATTATCGCAACCATACATTTTCATATATTCATTTATTTTCATTCTTATTTTTTGTTTATCATTTTGTAAATATGTTATTGTAGTTGTATGTAGAAAGATCCCAGGGAAAATTGCCTTGTACAACTGGATTTATAATAAAGATATTATTATTATTATCTCGTATCAAATTAGCAGCAATTATTTTAAGTGTCGCAATTTGTGTCTGTATGTGTTCATTATGGAACCCACTTTCAGGATCAACGCACCTGGCAACGGTTATAACTTATAACTTGACACGCAATGTAACATGGGTTCAGCTATCAGCATGAATTTTAAACATTCGGTATTACATGTGATGAGTACATAAACCTATTCAAACATAAATTTTAATAAAGCAATGTCAACCTATAAAAATAATAACCAAGTTAGGAAAGGATCAGAGTTGGTCACAGGATAATAAAAATAAGACCAACTTTTTAAATAATAAATCCTGTCATTAAGTCTAATTTCTATAGTCGACATCATGGTGCGGGCAAACGAACGGCCTTGGTCGGCGAGAAAAATCTTGTTAAGAGTTTAACCGATCGGCTGCAGGCTCATGAGGTCTCACGAAGAGACAAAAATCTCCAGTCGGTGGTTTTCCACTTTGTCGTGCGGATCATGCAAAAGGAAAATGAAAAATGATTGGATGATGACGCACCCTGTCTTGCAAACGATGAAATAATCGGCGACAAATATAAAAGTTGCTTGATGTTATACTTCCTGTCGGTAACGCGATATTATGCAAGATTCGAGTCGGCGATGGCTTAATGAGTAAGTCACTTGTAAAACTGTGAAGATATATGTTTAAATTTTAAATAATGATTAAAAGGGTTAAACAATTTTTCATGATTTTGAGCGTCATTAAGTGCACTTCTCCCAAATGCATATTTGAACATTAAATACTAGATTGACCTATATAGCTTGCTTAGAATTTATCGCCAAATAGTTTGAGGTCGTTTCCTGGTCGTTTTTCTGCTCCGTTCCTGGTCGTTTCATGTCGGTTCATTTGTTAGTAAGTACGGTCCTCGACTTTTGTTTGAGTTGTCTGACAGTTGTCTTACGCCTTTATGTAAGTTAAAGGTTAACTTAGAATGAACATAAAATTTAATTCTCAAGAATGGTCAATATGAGTATATATTCATCAGTGAACTTACCTGGTGTCATAATGTTACAACAGAATCCCTGTAAAATCTAGAAAATTGGAAAATTCATCAAACTTAGTAATTATTGAAAAACGCTTAATCATAATATTAAGCGTTTTTCAATAGTTAATTGTATTTTTATTGAGTTTTTATGATTTATCGGATTATATAAGGATCGTGTTATTTATAACACTAGGTATATCTACTGATTAATATATGCTCTTATTGACCAAGTTTAAAATTTTTAAATTTTATGTTTATTCTAAGACGTAGTATTTAATTATTTAATTACTTTAATTATACTTTTTTTTATGAATAGGTGTGTTCCTATTCCCAATGGCTAATTGATAGTGAAAATATAAAAAAAACCCTTACAGTTTGTCGATCAAGAAAATTGATATCAAAAGGAAAATACAAGTCGAAATCCATATTAAGTCATGATCCAAATGCTTGCAAGATAAAGGAGAAAGACTCGTGTTTTTCTCCAAGTGAAGATGGGATAGAGTTAACATCATGAAAGTTCGCATATAGAAAGCAATACGGTCAAAATGACCAGGGAACAAAGATGTATATCAAATACTGTACTTTACGACGATATCGATGAAATGAATTTAACAAATGCTATACCCTTTCGTCATAAATAACGTAAAATAAGATACTTGAAGGTGCTAAAATTTTAAATTTGAATTTAAAAGGCTTAATTTGCTCGTCGAAACTCTAGAATTTTCAGTCCATAAACATGTGAAATTCACTTTGGTAATAAATACATCGTATTCTGTCGTTAAAATATTGAAACACCAGTCGATGAAAGTATGCATCCTAACAAATACAAGGTCGAAAAATGTGTAAATTTGGAAAAAAAAAATCAAACCCAATATGTGTTCTTGTAATTTCCATATTACCAATTGCATGTTTTCGAAGACAAGCCATCAAAACCATGAAGATTAGTAGCAAACTAGTTAATGATTAATATGTGACCAAGATGGCTGTGTGAGAAGTAAAGCACTAAATTAATTGCTGTATTATCTTTTTAGATTATGTGGTAATAATGTACTTGTCTATGCCAGGGCTTTGATTACCTGACGTGGGTTTTGTTTTGATATAATATTTTCATTTTCTTTATTATGTTCGAATCAAAATAATCCAAAAAATCTGATTGATTAGTTGCTCTCAGTAATAAGATCGACAATTTATTTTATTTCTTTAAATTAGTTCTATTTACCCTGGCTTAGATAATTAATCTATAGTAAATATTTCAGCAATTAATTCTAACTATTAGCTCTATTGGTCTGGGCTTGGAACTTTAACCTATAGTCAATATTTGAGGAATTCTATTGAGAAATGATTGAAGACACAATTGGTTAATATGTCACTTTAGGTTTTACTTCATCTATCATTCTGGTTGAAATTAACTGCGACTTATTGAGAACTAACTTAATATTTCTTCCCTTATTTACTTAAGACTATGTAGCGAGTTTTATTAATTCAGTAGTAGACAGCTGACATTTGAAGATGCACTGTAGGAAATTTGTTAACTTGGATATTGTATATACTATTGCTTCAGAATAACAAATTTGACCATTTCGCCATTGTCACATGTCACTGTATGTAAGATATAAAAAATATCTATGGGAAATCTGAATAACAAAAACCTCCAGTCAGTTACAATAACATTCATAGTAGAATTAATGCTAGTAAAAAGTGCAGTCAGTTTTTTTAGTAGGTTTTAAAAATTAGGTGCTCGCATTAATGCAAACTATTGATCAAAGTCTAGATAAATGTGGCCCTGACTATTCACAAGGTCACAAGGTCTTACGATGGTCATATTACATATCATAGTCGTAAAATATGTTGTCGAAATTGTCATAAGTTACGATATATCATAACTGTTATCGTAAACTTCAGACACCTGGCGACATGACTTATAATGGTCTTATCTTTGAACAAGCCTCCCGTGCTTTCTTTTTAACACTGTTTGTTACTGTATTGCTGTTATGCTGAAAAGTACGGACTTAAATTCTTTTTAACTTCGTCTATCAACAATTGAATCTCCTGTGATGTAAAATTTGGACTTCTTCTCTCACTCATGATTATATACTGAATATAAATGTATTATTTCTATCCTTATATAGTAGTTTTTTAATGTATTTGCACGATTTCGTTAAGCGGGTAAATGTATGTACTTAATGTCTCAAATCTTAAAAGCATTCACAATTATATACGACATGATGTAATATAATGCATGAACACGTAGTTCGAGAATGTAAAATTATAAACAAACAAACTAAACTAAACCTTTTCATACGCAGTTTAATGCTTATTCTAATTTAAAAAAATAACATATTTACAAATTATAACAAAGGTTTAATTATTATTTTCTATTTTTATTGAAACTTATGTAAACAATTGTTGTTTATACGAAACTCTTATTTTGAGACAATCGCGACTTAAGACCTACTTGCGGCTTGTCGACATTCTTTCTTTCGGCCACGTTTTTTCTTCACCGCAAGTCGCAATACACAATTATTTACCTGTTTCTCAATTTTTGTTGTTACGGTAAACTCTATAACTCGACGAAGTGGAAGAAAAAGATCAGCGCCTAAACGTTTAGAAGAGGCGTCTGATTCAAACGAAGCTGACTCTGTTCAATGCGGTCAAGAAAATTTAGGCTAATTATCGGGACCAACTGGCAAGCTGGGAAGCTGAACAGTTTTAGAAGAGCTTCCGTCTGGCTTACAGTTACAGCCCCCTGCGACACCGAAGAGAGGAATTGCTTCAAAAAGATTTCAACTTCCCGTTAATCAATCTCAGATGATTTTAAATAAATTATTTAAGAATTGTGTGCACACACTGTGAATTAATTACGGAGAAAAGATTAGGCCCTAGTACTGGTATGTTGCAGACGGGCCCAGTTACTACTTCAAGCAACATTGATAAGAACCCAACAGTAGTCAGCAGTGCTCCCGGAGCTTATGCTTCTGTGCCCACTGACGATAGCAGAGCTTCATGTACTGCTGATCCGGAGAGCAATGTAGTGTTGGCTCATTTCTTACCAAGTCCTAGGTTACAGAATGCTACAGTTACTCAAGAAACCCAATATGGAGTTAATCCTGCTACCATTGCTACTGTTGATCTGATGTCCCCAGATATTAGAAGTAACATTCTTTCAGGTGAAGATGTTACCTCCATGCTTCCATCCGAAAAAGATGAAAGGATGTTTAGAGACCTAACCTTAGATGAATTCATCTTAGCTTTCGGTCGCTTCAAACGAATTTTGTGTTCAGTGTTTCCAAGCAGATCCGAAGAACCAGACCTCTACTTGGGTCATATTATCGAAACAGCTCATATTAGGCCGAGTAAATTATTTGAGTATGATAAATTGTTTTCCGCTGAATGTGCCATGTTTCTCTTACAAACAAATATTAAGGTGGATTGGTCTCAAGGTGATATTGGATTGCGACAGATTGTGTTTGCAGGTTCTAAAGTCAATTCATATTCTATTTGCAATTCGACATTGCACTCTTCTGCCATATGTAATAAGCCTAAGAACAGAGATTCATTTTCAACGAAGCCAAAACCAGAGTAACTATATCTCTATCAACTTACATGGACACTACACCTGCACCATCTGGAGGCACCACGCTACCGAACCAAACCCCTACACGAGCCCGAGGTTCTCCTACTCCTAGTCCAGCAGACATAGGTAAACGCTCTCGTAGAGAGGGCACTCCCCTTCTCTTTTCACTTTCAGACTCGTCTTCCCTTTCCACGCTATCTGAAACCAGCAAACCACCCCTCAGTCTCCATCCAAGTCGAGACAAGTATCCAGACCTTCCCCCCTCGAACCAGATCCGAGTCCGTTCCCAATGCTACAATTCTAACAACTACCTAACCAGTGCTAATCACCCCGTCGACAACCATTATATCCGCTGCCAAACCCTATTATCACCAAACCAAGGACAAATCATTATGGAATCTACCTGCTCTGAAGAAATCTTCCTTAATTATTGGATCATCTAACCTGAATCGAATTACCAATTACCAATTCAGACACTGAAATTCATTCTGACCCCGGTGCCCAAATCCATCACGTACAGTCAATACTGGAATCATACGACCATGATCCCAAACCTACTACCGTTATTCTTTATGTAGGCCTCAACAACCGTGATCAGCTACCAAAGACCTCCTTTAACCAAGCCCAGAAATTAATCGCTACAACCAATAAAACCTTTCCAAGCTCCAAGATCCTCTTCACATGTATACCCATCTCGAAGAAAGCACAACAGAACCTCAGCACCCTCAACAACATGATGATGGAGTCCAGTATCAACAGCGCAACAATCTTGCCACCCTACGAAGAATAATTCGAACCAGTTGATAATCTTCATTGGTCTCCAGAAACAGCAAACAGTATTTATTTGTTTTGGATACACCAGCTTCAAGCATCGAGTAAGTCTGTAAACTAATTACTGGCGATAAAAATACCGAGAGGTCACCGCTAGGCCAAACTGCAGTTAATTTGAGCTGCAAAATTCTCACACCCCTTCAGCATTCAAGCTTAGACCGTGGACTTAAGTCTATTTCTACACCAAAGACAGCCAACTTAAACATCGCGCCTACCTTTAGGACACAACCGATTTTTATACGCCCACATGAATATTTGGTCGTATATTTTCGTCGCCCCTGTCCGTCCGTCAACATTTCTTGTGATCACTATAGAGACTACATTTTTTATCTGATTTTGATAAAACTTGGTGTGATGCTTTAGATTGATAAGATCTCGGTCAAGTTCGAATTTGACATATTTTCGATGAACGGTTTTTGAGATATGGCCCTTGACTTAGAACACCTTGAAATTTTTTAAAAATAGTTCGTGAGCAGGATTGAAGCTACAGTTTTCAACCGATTATGATGAAACTTGGTGACATCTCGGACAAGTTCTAACTTGATGCATTTTCGATGAACGGTTTTTGAGTTACTGCCCTAGTCTTTGTTAAAACGCGTCAATATTTGTTAAAAATAGTTCGTGAGCAGGATTGAAGCTACAGTTTTCAACCGATTCTGATGAAACTTGGTGTGATCATTGGAATTGATAAGATCTCGGACATGCTCTAACAAGAGATATTTTTGATGAACATTTTTTGAGTTATTGCCCTTGACTTTGTAAACATGCGTCAAAAGTTGTTTTTTGCCCTTGATTAGAGCTGTGTGATTTAATTGTTTTTTGTATTTGGTTTTCGGGGAAGGGAGGGTTTGATTCTCCCAAATGTACAGGCCTAGGGTGGAGCAGACACTTTATTTAGAAATTAGGATTAAGGGTCTTGATATTGGGTTTTCTTCTGTTCTTATTCTGATCTGAAATTAGAAAAAATAACTCCCCCGATGGGCGAGAAGTATAGTATCTGTTATGTACTGATTGTTTTTAGTTTACTATGAACAATATTATCATTTAAGTTCTTATTTTTTGAATATGCAACTATCATTTTCTGCTTATAGACATGGGGGAATTTCTCTTGAAGGCTCTTATAGTGGGCATGAACTATCTTGCTTGCTCGATTGCTGGTTGTATTAAACGGGACAACAAAGGGTGCTATGCCTACATTATGATGAATATTTAGTCCTATAGGTCTTGCTGTATTCAATGTCTCAATCCAATGGGCCTCCCTAGATTGACGGAATTTGGTAGTTTCATCTTCGGGCAAGTCAATTTCTATACGCTCAATTGGGATTAGGGTGAGATCGTCTATTGAATGGTCGTCGAGGTTGAAATGATTAGAAACAGTCTTGTCTTTCTTTAATTTGATGTCTGACCTATGAGCATTAAAGCGAGTTCGTAAATTATTCTTAGTTTCTCCTACATATTGTTTGGGGCATTTCTTGCATGAAATTAAATATATTACATTCGAATGTTCACATGTTAGATGTTCCTGGATTGGGTACCTTTTATTCGTAGAGTTGCTAACAAAATAATGAGTTTCTGATATAAAGGGACATGTTTTGCATCTACTGGACAAACATGGAGCACTTCTTAAACCTGGAGGTACTTCGGCATAAAGTCTGTTTTTAGCTGCTATCTGTGCTAAGGTGGAATTTTTTATGTTTCGTAAAAATCGTTTAGAGTACCCACGCTCTTTCAGTTTTAAGAAAACAATCGTACAGGCTTGGTTGAAATCAGAAGATCTTGTACAAATTCGATGAAATCGTAAAACTTGTGACTTAATTATACCACAAAAGGTATGTTTTGGGTAAAAGGAGCTCTTGTGCAAGAGTTGATGAGTATCAGTTTCTTTGAAATACACTTTAATATCCAGTTTATTTTTTTCTGCTATGGAATCTCCCTTAAAGACTGTGGTATCGAGAAAGTCTATGCTTTTGTCACTCACGTTTGCGGTTAGTTTGATAGAAGGATGGTGGTTGTTGAGAATTTCAAAGAATTCCCAAAACTGTTCGATAGAATAAGTCCAAACCATAAAAATGTCAACCAAAAAGCGTCCGTAAAAAAGTGGGTCAAATGGACAGAGGGGCAACACCTCACGTTCCCACTCTGCCATGAAAAGGTTTGCGTACGAAGGGGCGAATCGTTTGCCCATTGCTGTCCCTGAAGTTTGTAAATATGTTTTACCATTAAATGTGAAATCGTTTCGACTAAGACCAATCTCTAAAAGCTGTAGAATTGCATCGTCGGGTCTGTTTGGATCTGGGTTTCTATTAAAAGCTTTACGAACTGCCGTTAAACCAGTAGTGTTATCGATATTGGTATACATAGAAGAAACGTCGATAGAAATTAAAATAGCATTAGAGGGAACTCGAAGATTTTTTATTTTATTGACAAAATCGGTAGGCGCGATGTTGGCATGCTAGAGGTAGTTGATTCTCTGCTTCTGAAACGTAATCCTCCCTATTCAGAATGACACAACATGAACCTTTGTCACTCTTTTTAATAACAATGCTATCGTCTTTCTGAATTAAGTTTAACGCTTCACGTTCCACTCGTGTGAGATTAGGCTTTTCGTGTGTTATGGAAAGGTTCACTGTTTGACTATTCATACTCGCAAATGCTTTCAATATTTCAGGATGGATGGCGGCCTGAGGGGGTGTCCACGAGGATTTAGGAATAAACATTGTTCTAGCACCACGTGGGGGGTGGTTTCGAAAAAAATATGTGCAGCTAAGATTTCGTTGAAATCGTTCAATGGATGGTCGGAGTTAAGGAGTCAAGTTAGCTATCTTTGGTGTGGGAATAAACTTAAGTCCACGGTCTAAGATTGAATGCTGAAGGGGTGTGAGAATTTTGCGGCTCAAGTTAACTACAGTTTGGCCTAGCGGTGGCCTCTCAGTATTTTTATCCCCAGTAATTAGTTTAAAGACTTATTCGATGATTGAAGCTGGTGTATCCAAAACAAATAGATGCTGTTTGCTGTTTCTGGGGACCAATGAAGATTATCAACTGTTTCGAATTCTTCTTCGTAGGGTGGTAAGATTGTTGCGCTGTTGATACTGGACTCCATCATCATGTTGTTGAGAGTGCTGAGGTTCTGTTGTGCTTTCGTCGAGATTTTATTTGAAATGGGTATGCATGTGAAGCGGATCTTGGAGTTTGGGAAGGTTTTGTTGGCTGTGGCGATTAATTTCTGGGCATGGTTAAAAGAAGGTCTTTGGTATCAGATCACGGTTGTTGAGGCCTACATGAAGAATAATGGTAGTAGGTTTGGGATCATGGTCGTATGATTCCAGGATTGACTGTATGTGATGGATTTGGGCACCGGGGTAAGAATGTATTTCGGTGTCTGAACTGGTTTTGGTAATTCGATTCAGGTTAGATGATCCAATTATTAAGGTAGATTTCTTTAGAGCAGGTAGTTTCCATAATGATTTGTCCTTGGTTTGGTGATAATACGGTTTGGTAGTGGATATAATGGTCGTCGACGGTGTGATTGGTACTGGTTTGGTAGTTGTTAGAATTGTAGCATTGGGAACGGACTCGGATCTGGTTCGAGGAGGGGAAGGTCTGGATACACGTCTCGACTTGGATGGAGACTGAGGGGTGGTTTGCTGGTCCAAAAACGCACAGAAGGAAGAAAGGTTGGCGGATCCTGGATCACGTGGTGAAGATTCAGATGGTGTGGAAGGGGAAGACGTGAAAAGAGAAGGGGTGTGCCCTCTCTACGAGAGCGTTTACCTATGTCTGCTGGACTAGGAGTAGGTGAACTTCGGGCTCGTTTAGGGGTTTGGTTCGGCAGCATGGTGGCTCTAGATGGTGCAGGTGTAGTGTCCATTTCAGTTGGTAGAGATATGGTTACTCTGGATTTTGTTTCGTTGATTGTTTGGTAAAATTTTGGAGATTACAGCTTGAGTGAGACGTTTCCCATAGGAGCGACGGGCCCAGGACAGGGCATGAGAAACGATGCGGTCGACGACAGGTGATGACTTGGTACGAATGGTGGTCAGCTTCTCTTGAAGTGTGGTTTGGTAATGGTCGATCAGGACCTGCGTAACCTTACAGAGCCATGTCCGATTGAGGGATCTAATATTCGCGTCGACAGCTGATGTTTTCATTGCTGGACGGATAAAACTATCCAACTCAGAGACTTTGCGTTTGAAGGTAAACGCTGGTTGGCCTTGCTGTTGAAGGGTAAGGATTGCCAAATGATGGAGGCACTGTAAAACTTGGAAGAACACCTTCACAAAGGGTTCTTCCTCCTTATGAGTGGGGACCGGTTGGCGTCGGTGGGCTGGTAGTCGTTTCTGTTGTTGGTCAGGTCGATGGTTACCTCTTGATTGGTAGGCTGTGTTGTAGGTAGGTCGGCGATGGGGTGGGATATAGCTGGATGGGTTGGTTGGTGGTCGGCGATTGGTAGGTGGTAGAGGTCGATGGAAGACAGGGCCGTTGTAGGGTACGTGATATTGGTTTGGTTGACGATTAGTGTTTCTATTTCTGGCTTCTTGCCAGTGGTTGTTGTAGTTGGGGAGCATAATGAAAATAACTTGGGGTTAGAAGGGAATGTACAGCGGATGTAACAGGAGGAAACTGTATATGCCAGCGTGAAAATGTTGGGATCAAATTATGCAAATAAGTCAAACTGGGTTTGGGGATATATAAAGCAAGATGAAAAATGCAAAAATATATATATTTAGGTGATAAATAACGCTAACAATGATGTGAAAATTATAACAAGTAAAACAAAAACTTACGCAATTGACACGAACCGGTTTTCGAAATATTATCCTTTTTCAAGTGTCGAGGAATGCTTATGAAATGGGATTGAATTTGCGATTTATATAGTAGTCAGTTAATACAGGTTTTTGATTTTCTAAAAATTATTGAGTGAATCATGTCATATCTTTGATCAGTTGAGGATTAGGATTATTTTTGATTTCTTAATTAGTTGAGTCATATCTTTGATCAATTGAGGACTATAGAAATATTGGATTAGATTTTGATTATATCTGAGTAATAATTCAGGAGGATTAGATTATCTCAGAGTACAATTTACATAAATGAAAAACATAAATAATCAGAAATCAAGAATAGAAAAATATAAAATAAATAAACATGAGAAATATTTGATAAAATAAGCGGGATTAGTGAATTGTAAATTGATTAGAACTAACTTTGAATTTTGATTATACCCGAGTAGTAATTTAAATGGATGGATATCTCGGAGTATAATTTACATGAAAGAAAAACATAAATAATGGCAATTAAATTTACTTGGTTAGATTAAAAGATTAATGCTTTGTTTTATCATTTCTGACAGCTGCCAGTGGGCGGATGTTACCTAGCAACGCAAGCTATCTTCTCAATAAGATAAAAAAAAATCTTCGGGTTCCTTTTAATGCTATTTTAATTTCTACCGACGTTTCTTCTATGTATACCAATATCGATAACACTACTGGGTTAAGGGCCGTCCGTAAAGCTTGTAAAAGAAACCCAGATCTAAACAGACCCGACGATGCAATTCTACAGCTTTTAGAGATTTGTCTTAGTCGAAACGATTTCAATCTAGGGAAGCCCATTGGATTGAGACATTGAATACAGCAAGACCTATAGGACTAAATATTCACCATAATGTAGGCATAGCACCCTTTGCTGTCACGTTCAATACAACCAGCAAACGAGCAAGCAAAATAGTTCATGCCCACTATAAGAGCCCTCAAGATAAATTCCCCCATGTCTATAAGCAGAAAATGATAGTTGCATATTCAAAAAATAAGAACTTAAATGATAATATTGTTACTATACTTCTCGCCCATTTTTTCTAATTTCAGATCAGAGAGAGAAATAATAATAATGTTTATTTGCAGTATATAAGGTCTAAGACCCATATTACAATGTGTTTCAAATAAAATAAATTACAACAGTGCATAACATATACTAAATAACATATAATAAATGGCGTTAAGATGTGGTAGCTTGATTTCTGAAAGACAGAGTGCCTTTTCTGCTTTTAAGGAGAGGTTTGACAAACACTTACTCCAGTTAAGTCTGGAAGAAAATAGCAGGCTGAGGTAACTGTAATACGTAACAGGTTCTAACTGCTCCAGATTCATGTACCTTTTCTCGTTTTTCTAAGAACTCCCCCATTGCGAAAAACAATCACCTTTGTTTTGTCAATAGTTACCTTTAGATGGAACAATTCACAAAACCTTTCCAAAGACAATATCTTCTTTTGGAGGTCCCCTTCTGTATCCGATACCAAGCTTAAGTCATCGGCATATAGGAGTGCCAAAATATCCGAGACCTCTTGAATTGTAAATATGCCCCGAACATTATCTGTTTCAAGTTGTTCTACAAATTGATTTATATAGAATCAGAAAAGAATGGGGCTCAAAACACATCCCTGTCGAACTCCAGAATTACAAGTGAAATATTCTGTTATACCGTTAGATAATTTGACACTGGACGATACCGAATGGTACATGCCCTTAAGAGCTTTATACATATTTCCATTAATACCTTTTTTCAGTAAGAGTGATAACTTGTGAATGTTCCAATCACACAATGATGAACCCTATTGAAAATCAGAAGAATTGAAAAATATTGAGTATGAGTTATTGCCCTTGTCCTTGAAAACGCTTTCAAATTTAGCTCATGATTCTTGCTGGATTTTGACAAAACTTGGTTTTATTATTCAGTCCCGCGCTGAAGATTGAATATTTACTTTCACAAGCTAAAAATTGAACACGTTTTCAAGAACAATGGCAATAACTTATACTCAATATTATTGACTGAAGGTTGAATATTTCATACTGTTGATTGTTACTGTACTGCTAAATATTTTTATTCAAAATCAAAGCTGCAAGTGATCGTATATTACCTTGCCTGGCAAGCTATCTATATATAAATAATATTCTGGAGGGCACAATACATAGATTTTAAAGAAACTTTCTTAAATTGTTTGCTATAACTCGAAGAACCCTATCTAGAATATATCAAAGCACATTCGATTTTAAGCTCAAGTAAAAACTCTAAAAACCACATTACTTGAAGGACGATACCTGGTTTAATTGTTAATCATAACACTATAAAAGGTTGAATGCTATCGATAAAACATCATGGTTGCCATTTTACCAATTGTATGTTTAAGCTGTCAGTTGGCGTATAATACCTTTTACAGGATCTTGACAGCTATCTTATCATTATTCTTATTGATATAACATTGGATGTCCGTATTTAATACGATTTACTCTTTTTTTTACAGAAAGTGAACATTATTTTTTACAAAAGACAATTGTTGCACTCTAAAATACATTATTCAACTTGGCCGGATTTACAAAAACGATGCTATAATTTTCTATTTAAAAACCAATGTTTAACTGTAAACATTGCTATCTTGTTAAGTAATTAGTTATGATTATGGACCACAAAATATCAGGGAGGAGTAGTGAAGTGATAATCTATAATAGAACCTGCTATTGAAATAATTAAGGGCGAAAATACCGAACGAAAACATTTTAGAGTGGTTATGATGGCAGAATTTAGAATTTCTGGACGGAACCGGGCGGTTGCCATTTGTCAGTTGAATACTTCACGGATCTGTATGCTAGCAAGTAAGAGTCATTCTTGTAAGAAATTTTCAGACTAGTTAGTTCCTAGAATGCTTAGTAAGGATAATGAAGCTTCTCTACTCGAAATTAAAACGTAATGGGTTGTATATTTTAAAATGGAAACTTTAATGGTATAGATATTGTGTATAAGTATCTGTGATACACGGATAAATACGAGACATCGTGTGTGTAAAAATGTTGGACAATACAATCATCGTCTGTACTGTAATAAGTAAGATATTCCTTGATTGAAAGTAGAGGAGACTAAACGCAGGGGTAATATTGAGAAACTTTCCATACGATTAGTCTTGTCAAGGGTCATTGGTATAAGAACAATTCAGAGAGAGACTTTTCATCAGGGAGACAAGATGATCTCAATCACTTTAGAATAATTCAATCTTCTATTTATTTGATTGCAATGAGTTGAGACAGTTTGTGGAATCTCAGACGATTTAATTACCTTTATTTCTGCTTATTTGAAAACACTTAACCCGTTCTAATGACACGAAGAGATACTGACCTGGATCATTTAAACTCCTAGAAATATAATATATATAATCATAAACAATATATATAATCATAATGGTTTAATTTTGATCGACATTTGTTCTTATCGGGGCAGTTTTTCAGTTTCCCGCCCTTTTGGTTTCATCTCCTGTTGTCGAAGGCACCCAGTCTCAGTATATTCCCGGTGACAACAGACGCTAATATTAGGTTAGATTAGTGTAGATACTTGCCTGAAAGTATATCATAAGGTTAACTTTGCATTCCGCGTGAATTTGAGATTAGCACCGTTACACGAACAAATATAACTGTTTTATAATTTATAATATAGACTACATTTATACGCTATATTCTTCTATCTGTCAAGGGATTTTGATGGTAAACAGGTAAACAATCAATACCAAAAGAGATTTCGATATCAAGCAAATAAAAAACCCTCTCTTTTTCTTAGAAAATTGCAAACATTTTGGTTTTCGGTCGCCTCAAAGTAGATACCTGAAACATCGTTCACAACAACCATCCAACTTTATGTCAGTTGGCTGTAACAAATACTTTTGTTGTTCAATCATGTGAAAGTTACTGAAAGACCAAAGTCTTGGACGATTACCAACCGACAATTCGTAGCCAACAGTCAGTTCTTATTAGTGATAAATCGAGGATTTCTTTCATTCAATACCAACCGTGTATATGAAGTAAGTGTAACAGGTGATTGCAGGTGTTGTTT